GTGGCATGGTGGTTAGGGCACTGGACTCCCACACGGTTGACTGTGGTTTGAGTCCTGGACCTGGCAGCTTGCTTTCTTATGCTCTCTCTCTCTCTCTGGTCTAAACAAAACAAAACTAATAATAATAAGTAGAATTAACTAGTAATTATTTTAAAAATAGAATATTTGGGGACCAGCAGATGGTGTAATGGTTATGCTGCTGGAGCCCCAAGTAGTCGATAGCAATTTAAGTCCCAGACCCGGCAGTTTGAAACTCGGGCCGGGCCTGGGCACGTGTGCATGCGTGACTAAGATCCTGAAAGGATTGTGGGGTGGCCAGCCCCCAGAGGGAATGGCTTCTCACTTTCTGTTTGTCTGTCTCTCTCTGGTGAGTGCAGGCGCCCTATGGCAGAAATCTCTCTAAAATAATAATCATTACTATTATTATTTTTAATTTGACCAGAGAGAGAGAAGGAAAGTGCGAAAGCAAGCCACCAGGTCCAGGACTTGAAGCACAATCAGCCTTGTGGGAGTCCAGCACCTTAACCACCATGCCACCTGCCAGCTCCTCCTTGGAATACCTTACCTGGTCACAGTGTCTGCTCTTCAGGATCAGCAGATGGCGTAATGCTTACGTCGCTGGACTCCTACATTGTTGACTGCAGTTCGAGTCCCAGACCCGGCAGTTTAAAACTAACGCTGGGTGCATGTGCATGACCAAAGTCCCGAGAGGAGAATGAAGGAGAAGGGATTGCAGCGTGGTCATCCCCTCTGGGGAGTGATTTCTCACGTTCTGTCTCTGTGTCTCTCTGCTTCTCCAGTGAGTACGCATGCCCTATAGCAATAAACAAAAACAAAAACCAACCAAACAAAAAACCTCTAAAAAAAAAAAACTCTAAAAAGCAGTGTCTGCTTTTCTTTTCCTGGGGAAAGGGAGCTGAGCCATATCCCATAGTCTATTCTAACATTCTGAGCTGAATCGTGTCCCCCCCCAACCCAAATTCTCATGTCGAGGTCCTAACAACCTCCCCGTCCTGTACCTGTGTTCAGAGACCAGCTCTTTGCAGAGAGAACCAACTTCAAATGACGCCGTTAGGGCAGGCCCTAAAACAGTATGGATCACGGTCCTTATATAAGGGAGAAATATGGACAGAGACGTGGACAGAGAGATGATGTGGAGACACAAGAAGGCAGCCATCCACAAGCCAGAAGGAACCAACCCCGCCCACACCTGGACCTCAGCTTTTGAGCCTCCAGACTGTGGGATACTAACTTCCCGCTATTGAAGCAGGAGAGTCTGGGCTATTTTGTCGCAGCAGCTTGAGCAGACTCATACACTGACAGTGTGGTCCAGGGGGAGGCCTTTGGGTCACACCAGCCTCGGAGGGCTAGAGATGAGTTCAGCTCTGAGGGCAGTCTACTGGTCTCCATGACGGAGCTCCTCCATGGTGTCCAGGGTCTTTACTAAGCAGAATGACTTAAGCATAATATTTATTGTGCACTTTATTTCTATTATGACATTATAGACTAATGAAATCATTGTACGACTCACCCTCATGCAGTATTTGCAGTCGTTCCCCAGTGCCAGTATCACCACCTCAGCTCCACCTCCCATCATCAGGTACTAGAATCTTTTTTTTTTTGTTAAGAATGATTTATTATTATTTTTATATTAGATTTTAAAATTTTACTATAGGATATGTGAGTTCACCAGAGAGAGAGAAAGACCTGGGCAACTCCTTGATAAAGACCCTGGACACCATAGCTCAGGGGAGCTTCCTGTTGATAGTGCACCACATGTGTGGTCATTGCCTCACCAACGGGAGAATGAATGCCATCCGTGGCTCCATGTGGAGAGTCAACTGGATGCTCTGCACAGGGAACGTTCTTGGGCTCTACACCAGGGATCCCCAACCCAGCATCAGTCTGTGGCCTTTTAGAAACTGGGCCACATAGCAGGAGGTGAGTGGTGGGCCAGTGAGTGAAGCTTCATCTGTATTTACAGCCACTCCCCATTGCTCGGATCACTGCCTGAACTCTGCCTCCTGTCCGATCGGCAGTGACATCAGATTCTCAAAGCAGATTGAACCCTATTTTGAACTATGGTTGTGAGAAATTGAGGTTGTATACTCCTTAGAGAATCTAATGCTTGGGGGCTGGAGGGTGGCATAGTGGTAAAGGCACTAGACTCCCAAATGGCTAACTGCAGTTTGAATCCCGGACCTGATGGCTTATTTTTTTTCTCTCTCTCTCTGTCTCGCTCTTTCTGGTGAGCTCACATGCCCTGTGGAAAACTTTAAAATAATAGTAATGCTTTCTCATTTTCTCTCTCTCTCTCTTTCTCTCTTTCTCTCTCTGGTGAGCTCATGTGCCTTGTAGCAAATTTTAAAAAATAATAATAGTAGTAGTAAATGAAATAAAATGATTCTTAAAAAAAAAAAAAGAAAAAAATCAACTATCTGACAGTGGGAGGTAGAACTGAGGTAGTGACGCTGGCACTGGGGAACAGCTGTAAATACTGCTTTACAGTGAGTTGTACAATTATTTCATTATATGCTAAAACGGAATAATAATAGAAATAAAGGGCATAATAAATAGAATGTGCTTGAGTCATCCTGAAACCACTCCCAACCCCCCACACCCCCAACCCCGGGTCCATGGAAAAACTGTCTTCCACAAAGCTGGTCCCTGATGCCCAAAACCTTAGGGACTGCTGTTCTACACCACGCGCTTCGGCCCCTGGCTCATTTTAACGTGTATCCTTTCACTGCAATAAACCGGAACTGTGAGTATGAAAGTTTCCAGTGAGTTCCGTGTGTCCTTCTAGTGAATCATAAAACTCCAGTGTGGTCCAGGAGACCCCAGCAGTTGCAGTAGGTATCAGTCTGAGGGTGGTCTTGGAAATGTCCCTAATTTCAGACAACGCCACACGAGATGTGGAGAGAGTAAGAAAAAGGCACTGGTGTTTCTAGAAAACAGAGGTGGACTTTTGCCACTTCCAGAGTGGCAGGCTCATGTGACCCAGGGACAGGTGGCATTGCATCACCAGGGGGCAGGTTCAGATCCTGGGGCCCACTCCAG